CAATGATATAAAAAGAGATTGAGTGCAGAGAAGAGCAAGACAGGATAAAACATAAGAAGAATGGTTGATAATGGTTAAATAAGCCTGAAAACCAAAAACAAGCTAATTTTAATAACAATTCAATGGCAACGAGATTATTTGAGAGATCTTTTAAGCAATAAAGTGCGGAGAGAAGTTTATAAAAACTTTATAAAGGAGCTGAAAAGAGAATTGACACAACAACTGGTAAGCGAGATAAGACTGTTTTGCCACTGGAAAGATACAGGTTGATAATGAAAGTTGATGATAAAAAGTTAGTTAATTTTTGGTGATCAATAAGTAGGAATTTCATTATTTTGTAGATTGTTTTAGATTATCATTGAATGTTTATTCGTTAACATATAATTAACTACAACAATAATGAAATGATAACCTCAATTAGTATAAGTAACTTGGTTATAAATTGTAAATTGGGACTTGGCGAAAAGACCTATAAATTTTATTAAGAAATTCTTGTTTAGATCTTGCTATAAAGGTATAGTTTCTTTTGGGCCTGATGAGAGGAGAGGTTTCTATAAATATAAATAACAAGGAAATGTTAATGGATAATGTTTAATTGTGTGTGTGTGTGTGTGTGTATGTGTGTGTGTTGTATTAGTAAAAGCAAATTGCATATAAGCTTTAAATTGTAAGTTGGGAGAAAAAGTGGGGGGAATGCTTAGATATCTTATTAACTGATTATGTTTCAGAATATGTTATAAAGGTGTAATGTTATTGGAGGTTTCTTGAAATTGCAAATGAATGCCAGTGGTGGTTGTGTCTTTAAATACAAATGATTTCAGATAAAAGCACGTTTAAATAATTGCAATTAAATGAGAATTGTGGTACAGTGATAGTAAAATACATAAATTTTTTTGATTTAAAATGTACAATTCAATTTGAATGAAGTATATATAATGATTGTGGAAGAAAAGCATGAAATGTATATGTAACCAATCGACACGCTTTCTACAAGATGTAATGAAGGATGATTCTTTTTTTGTGTTTTTGTTTAATTAAAGCAATAAAACTTTTCAGAAAAAAAGAAAGATGTTGAGACTCTAGAAAGAGTGCAGAGAAGAGCAACAATGATGATTAGGGGACTGGAGGCTAAAGCATATAAAGAACGGCTGCAGGAATTGGGTATATCTAGTTTAATGAAAGAAAGGACATGTTCTAATTTCTAAGGGGCTGCCGCAAAGAAGAGGGTGTGTGTGTGTGTCTATTCTACAAAACACCTGAAGGTAGGGCAAGATTCAATGGATGGAAACTAATCAAGGAGAGAAACAACCTAGAACTGAGGAGAAATTTCCTGAGAGTTAGAATAATTAATCAGTGGAATGGCTTGCCTTCAGAAGTTGTGAATGCTCCAACACTGGGAGTTTATAAGATGAGATTGGATGCCCATTTGTGTAAAGTGATATTGGACTATAAATAAAGGGTTGGGCTATAAGACCTCCAAGCTCTGTTATTCTGTTATTTTTCTCTTATTCTGGCATTCTGTTAAGATACCATCAGTGTATTTTGAACATATACAGACAGAGGGAAATTGGGGTATTTGTATGTTCTGTTAACAGCCTAGGTTAGTGATCTGTATGCAATTTCAATTATTTTTCCAATATAAAAACATTTTCTACATCTGCAGATAATGTTTGGTAATAATCTTTTGGCTAAGCCACCATATTGCATGTTATCTGGAACTCCTAGTTTGTGAACCTTGAAGCGGTGGATAAGAAGAGGTGTTTAGATTGTCTTCTGTCACATATACTTTGAACTCCTCCTCCTTCTAGCTATTGTGAGGAATGGCCAGAGAAGTGACCATCTATTTTTCTGCTGTATTTTGGTCATTAAATTCTTGATTTGAATTTTTTTAAAAAAATCAAACCCTAGATGTTAAAAAAAATTGTTTTACATGTCATATAACCCACCACGACTTGTGAAATGGTGATGGGATATAAATTCAACAAATACTATAATAAATAAATAATTGAAGGAGGAAGGAAAAATCAGTAGGAAGATACAGATTTCCTTCAAATATGCTTTTTGTCCCTGTGGTGGTGGTTCTTGCACTATGGTGAATAGTAAGCAACCTTTGCTTGTAATGTTTGCAGAAGGATTTTTAGAAAAGGACACAGTCATCCAAAATAGAATCCCAGATTTCTGGTTTTTTATTATAGTATCTTTTCTCCTTGGTAGGTAATGCTGGTAATTGATGCAGCTGTAACTCATTTGGAGAATTTGCACTGCCTGGAGGACTACCTCTCTAATCTTGGCAGGAAACACCAAGCAGTTGGGGTGAAGGTTGAGTCCTTTGAGGTAAGCACTTACAGCAGGTATGCTGTGCCTTGCTTTTTCCACAGTAAACTCGCTGCAGTAGACAATTCCATGCGGGATAACTCAATGCAATAAATATTATTGGCAAAAATGGAAATAATGTCAAAGAAACAGTGGTAGGTAACATTTATTCTGTTGAGTTATCCTGCATGAAATTTTCCGTGGTAAGTTGTCCCATGGCGAGTTGATGATGGAGAGTTATCCCATGGCAAGTTGACCAAGGCGAGATGGTCTGGTGAGTTGGCTGTGGTCAACTCATTGTCCCATTCCACATTACAGACAGTCCTCACTCAGTTAACATTCACTGAGCAAGTGTTTGAAGTTATGGCAGCACTGGACAAATAGTAGTTACAACCAATTCTCAAAGTTATGGCCCTTTGCAACATCCATGGAATTATGTTAAGATTATTGGCAGCCTATCTGCATTTATGGCTGCAACATGCATTTCAATTCCTCCTCCCCACCTATTTTCCCCCATCGTTGTTCTTTTGGCTATCCTGCATGCCGCCATCTACTCCTGTCATCCTCAGCTGACCTCTTCATCTGCTCCTAATGAGATGTGGCTGGTTGAGGCTCTCAAGGATAAGGAACTGCCTCAGCCAAGTGGGAGGAAGAAGACCATGCAGATCAGCTGGGAGCAGTGAAGACTGGCAGGGGTAGATGGAGTGCTGGGTGGCCAAATGGGCAGAGATGGGGAGGAGATAGGAAGATGGGGGGGGGGAGTTGATGTGGAGGCAAGTGTGCAGAGCAGAAGCATGAGGTTCTTGCCTAAGGACAGTGCAGTTCTTGCCTAATGATCACAACTGGGATTATCAAAACTGCTGTTGCTAAGAGGGATGGTATTTTGCATACAATTCTATTCTGTTCTGTTCTGTTTTATTCTATTCTTTATAAAATTCATATATCACTCATCTCACTTTTGAGTGACTCTGGTGGCTTACAATTTCATAAAACAAGAATATAAAACAATTAGAACATGGAAACATTTAAAATAATTAACAAAAAAACTAGCTAAGAAAGGAATCAATATATAAACAGGATGTAGGTGGGATCTTCTATTCATAAGTTGCAGCTAACAGATAAAATCTGGGAATGTGTCTTTTATTTCATATTTGGAGATAAATAGTGGATTTGCTTTTCAATGATTCTTATGTTTGCAGGTGTAGTTTAGTAAATATATCTCTGTTTAGAGGCTAAAAGTTCTCAAGTTGTGCAGGGCAGTGAGATAACTGCCCTAATGCAGTTCCCTCTGTTCAAAATACAATCACTGATGCATTTGGCAACAAAACACAGTTCATTTGTATGAGTATAGTTAGCAAAGTTGTATTTTATATTTATAGATTGGGCATTACTTTTCAGTGATGGATAGCAGCAAGAAAAGTCGTAGCAGGTGGAGGGGAGCTGACCTTTCTTTTTAAGTACCATGTTTCTGTTGTAAACCATCATTTCTTTCCAATATTAATAAATTATCCTTGTCTTGAGATGTCTGCTGTTCGAACACTAACTCTGTAATCTTCTTTATGATTTGCAGGCTGTAGGAGACTCCTTGCTGTATATGCTGGAGAAATGCCATGGTCCTGCCTTCAAGATGAATGTGCGAGAAGCCTGGATAAAGCTCTATAGCACTGTGGTCAAAGCCATGAGCTGCGGCTGGAAGGTTCCCAGAAAGGTGGAATAATCTCTGATCAAGATGTTTGGAGCGCTTTGCTGTTCTGGGTCAGAAACAGCTATGACAAAAGAGCATGATCATTTTTCCAGCTTGATGTATTTCAGAGTAATCTCGACAGCTTTCTTTCTGTCTGTTGCTTACTTTTGCATTCCCAGTCTCTGTGTGTGACAGTGGGCCCTAGAATTCGGTGTAGCAGGTCCATGTGTAGTGGTGTGTAAAACATTTCAATCCAAAGTATTTTAAGTATCAAATTCTCCTTACCACAAGTTTGAAATAGGCTGTTTTGAGTAATTTGGAACTGATTCGAGCTCTAAACAATTCTTTTGACCTTAAAATATTTTCAGAATTCTCAAAACAACCAGATTTGTATTTAAAAAAAAACCACCCAGTAAGAACGGATTAACATTCAAATTGGGAAAATTTGTGAAGATGAAATGATTCAAAATGAAATTTTGCATAACTCTAGTCTGTTTGCAGGTGACAAAAGTGAAGAAACCTGGAGTTGCAATTATATGTTGACTGTAGTGGCTTTCTTGCCTTTAAGCTCTTTTTTTAATTAATCGTTTTTTTAAACAAGAGAATGGACAAATATAAAAAAAGGATACAATGTTATAGTAATAGTAAATGAACAGAGATGCAAACATTGTGCAGTTTAGTGCTCAGTATAGCATTGGTAAATGGTTAGCCATCAAAACCAAAATATATTGTCATTTTTAATAAAAAAAGGAAAGTACTTTGAAGATCTTTTTAAATCTCTGAGCTGAATGCATGATTTTCGAAAGCTCTTTATTTTCTGTTTATAAAAACCAACTGCACAGGTTTTTTTTAGCATACAAAGGCATTTGGGCTAGCCAGGGTTTGTTTGTTTGTTTTCAGTAAGGAAAGCTTGGTATTCTTTCTGTAAATTGTGGGGATTTCTTTGGGATTATATAAGCAGTACAGTCTCCCCCCCCCCCCCNGGTGAGATTTGAACTGCCAAATTGCAGGCAGCTGGCAGTCAGCAGAAGTAGCCTGCAGTACTGCACTCTAACCACTGCGCCGCGGTGGCTTAAGATGAATAGGATAAAACTGCCAGAAAAACTATTGAGGTGGGCTGAGGTGGGCTAAAGACAGTTCCATAGGACTTTAAAGGCCATAACCAACACCTTGAATTGGACCCAGAAATAAACTGGTATCTAATGCAGCTTATCATCAAAGGTGTTAATTTCTTTGTGCCAGTTTATTTGACTATGTGCCTATAATAACTGTATACTGATCTTGTAGTTTCTTATGCACCCTCAATAACTAGGAGGGATGCCTGCAATGTAAACAGGAAGAATGTTCTTGGGAGATTAGTTAATTTATCTATTTAGAGGCTGAATAAATAGAGAAGGAGCCAGGATTAGAAGGCCACTGTGGATGACATGCATGCGTAAAATCCAACCTGACAATAAAAAACTAATGAGAATCTGAGGCTACTTCACAGAATGAAAAAGGAAACATTATCCTCCACACATTTTGAAGATGATCCTTAAAGTGCTCTTTTGGATACTGTTGCAGATATGGGGCATTTCAGGATCAATTTGAAAGTAGGGATGCAGATTGATAAGGCAAAAGAAGGAGGAGGAGGGGTTTCTCATCTAATTCCATTAATAGATTTCTACTTGCATTTGGGAACTTTTTCATGTTCATCTCCCCAGGACAGGGCTCCTTGCATCATCTTCAGGGCCTATTCAACATCGACTTTGGAGTATGCAGATGAGATATGCAAAGGAATAAAATGGTTGAGGGAGTAGAAGTTATGGGGATTTTGGGGAGAGAGTGACCATGACATACTTGAATTCACTATAATGCAACTAGAGGTAACTGAACAAAGTCAGACTAGTGTTTAAGAGAGCTGACTTCAATAAGCTAAGAAAGAGACTAGGAACGATTCCATGGATAGATATCCTAAATGGAAAAACAGTTCAAGACGCTTGGGAAACCTTGAAAAATGAGATAATGAAGGCCCAAGCAAAAACAATAAAAAGACACCAGACGAGACCAGCATGGTTGCATAAAGAGAGATAAATTGAGGGACGAAAAGGTCAAATATAAAAAATGGAAAGAGGGAAACATAACTAACACGGAATACCAAGAAGTAGCCCAAATCCACAAGAAGGGAGTCAGAAAAACCAAGGCCCAGAATGAACTAAAAGTAGCAACCAATGCCAATAATAATAATAAAAAGTTTCCTTCAGTATATAAGGAACAAGAAGAAAGTCAAGGAAAAGATAGGCCCACTAATGGGAATGGATGGCAAGAAGGTGGCAGGCAACAGGGAGAAAGCAGATCCCATATCAATATGAGATAGACACTGTCACCACGAAATGGATTCACAAACTGTCTAACTGAACTTAGTGGGTAATCCTCAATGGTGCTACATTTAAACAGAGGGAAGTATGCAGGGAAGTACCTCAAGGTTCTGTCTTAGGCCCAGTACTCTTCAACATCTTCCCAAATGGGGATAGAAGGGGAACTAATCAAATTTGAAGGCAACACCAAATTGGGGGAATAGTTGCTATTTTGGAAGATACATTCAAGTTCCAAAAAGATCTTGACAGACTTGAGCATTGGGCTATCCAACAATATGCAGTTCAGTGCTGAGAAAATTAAGACCCTGCGTGTAGGCAGGAAAAATCAAATGCATAGGTATAAAATCAGTGGTACCTGGTTAAACAGTAGTAATTGTGAGAGGGATCTAGGTGTATTAGTGGACCACAATTTAAATATAAGCCAGCAGTGTGCTGTAGGTGCCCAAAACCCAATGTATTTCTACAACCACACAAGGATAGTGTCAAGACAACGAGAAGTGATAGTATGGCTTTACACCATGATGGTGACTCCATACTTGAAATACCGGTACTTCATTTACTTCTGGTCACCACAAAAAATGATGTTGAGACCCTATAAAGTGTGCAGAGAAAAACAACACAGATGATAAAGGATTTGAGGCTAAATCATTTAATGAACAGTTGAGGGGCATACGTATGTCTAACCTATTGAAGAGAAGCATCGGAGGAACATGATAACTGGCATCCAATATTTGAGAGACTGTCACAAAGAAGAAGGGATTGATTTATTGTTTAGATCTTCAAAGGACAGGACAAGAAGGAAAGAGATATTGCCAAAGAGAGAAATAAGGAGAAATGTTTTGAAGTGAGAACAATTAATCAATGGAATAGGTTGCCTCCTGGGTTGTGGATGCACCATCATTGGAGGTTTTCAAAAATAGACTGGACAACAATTTGGCTGGGATGGTATAAGACTTTTGTCTTGAGCAGAAGGTTGGACTAGAAGTCTCTTACAACCCTATGATTCAATGAAATGGAAGAATTCATTTCCATTTGGGGAGAGACAGAATTAAATAGAGCTCTCTGAATGAATGACAAAATGAACCATGGCTAGGTAAAGCATGAATGATATTAATACTTGTGATAATAAGAATCTTTTAAGGAAGGAAGTTTACAGTAGCTTTCAGTAAAATAAATCCAGGGAACAAAATAGTGTTTGAACATTTTTGTGTGGAAGGAAACCTAGTGTTAGCTATCTTCCAGTACTTTCACTAAATGTTATGTCTTCCAGGGATTTTTGCCTCTAGATCTTTATCATTTGATGATATGATATGTCTCTACATATGAAATATACTTTATATTTAACATCCTTTTCCTGATATGCTCAAGCATGTAACACTACAAATTAAGTCGTGATCTGGTAACAAGAGAGGTGTGCTACAATTATGAATTCATTGCCTTCTCTGTTTTCTAATATACTGCATATTGTTTACATATCTTGTTTTTTGCTTTGTTGTAAACTCACTTCTCTGTGAGATGTGCAACTATATAAATATTATTAAATAAATAAATAGCAACAGGAGGCAGGAAAAGAATAGGGAAGAATGCAAGTGGTGCACTGTCTTCTTCAAGTTTAGGTTGACTTGAGGAAGGAGAAAGGAATGCACTTAAAATCATTCTGCCTCAGCATAAAGGAAATGTATTGCCCAAAAATCTATCCCAGCTTGACATAGTTTCAGGGAATGAAGACTGTTATGATGTCACAGATTAAAGTTATACTGAAAGTTGAAGGGGAAGCTTTACCTTCTTTTGAATTGGTTTGCTTCCCTGAACAAACTAGTGGGTTAGGAAGAGAGATGAGTGGTGGGCCCCTGTTCTTATTTCCTTTTGAGGTTGAATTTCTGGTTTTCTTGTCTTTTGTGAGTGAGTTTTTTTCCCCAGAAGAAGTCCATTGGTGAGCTGAGTTGAGCAATAGTTGAGCTGAGTTCAAACAGTGGGACTGACGTTTTACTATTAATTTGCATGGAAACCAAATAATTAACAGGTGGATGTCCTTCCTTATATTTTAGGCTTTTTGATTTGGATCCAGACCTCTTGCCCCTTTTCAAGTACAATTGCAAGACGTTCTCTACTCCTCAAGAGTGCCTCTCATCACCTGAGTTCCTGGAACACATTAGAAAGGTGAGGGTTTATTAAATAAATTATCCCAACTAGTAAAGTTTATGTTACCAGGTATACAGCTAGTATAAAGGAGGATCGGATACATGTAATGGTTATTTATAGTGGAGCAGAATAAATTCGTAACTCCAAACTGTAGAACCCAGGAGGATAAAATCTGTTTATTGTTGTTATCCATTTAGCTTCTCATTTTCTAAAAAAAAAAGATGGGGATTTTAAACATGTGACATTGTGACCAATAAGTATTTCAATATAAATCTTTTTTATCATGCCCCTGGTGGCTTTATGAAGACCTTTTACCTAACCCTTTGTAAACTATAACAACTTATTGAAGTTATATTTAAATAATTTATATGGCTGCCCATATTACAGCATTAAACCCAAAGTTTATGAGCTATGATGTTCAAGATAAACAATGTACAGTATCCCATTCATAAAACTACATCCACAGCAGAGCTTGCCTAACTTCGTAACCTACGTCTGGGGCAAGAATTATGAAAGTCTAACAGGATTAAAGGTAAAGGTAAAGATTCCCCTCATACGTATGTGCTAGTCATTCCTGACTCTAGGGGGCGGTGCTCATCTTTGTTTCAAAGCCGAAGAGCCAGTGCTGTCCGAAGATCTCTCTATGTTGATATGGACGGCATGGCTAGACGTCAAAGGCGCACAGGATTAACAGGATTAAAGGTAAAGATTCCCCTCGTATGTATGTACTAGTCATTCCTGACTCTAGGGGGCAGTGCTCATCTTTGTTTCAAAGCCGAAGAGCCAGCGTTGTCCGAAGATGTCTCTATGTTGATATGGACGTCAAAGGCGCACAGAACGCTGTTACCTTCCCACCAAAGTTGGTCCCCATTTTTCTACTTGCATTTTTACATGCTTTCAAACTGCTAGGTTGNCTAAACTGGATATTATTTATTCCTTCAATCTTTGTTTGTAGAGCTTGATTTCTAGTCTCCCAATCTTGCTTGCTACACTTCTGGGAGCCTTATAATTTGTCTGAATCCTTCCTAGAGTGTGGTGCTTAGAAAATGACAAAATATTTAAACTGGATTCTGACCAATTGAAAAAAAATACATTTCTCTCTATTAAAAAAGGGACATTGCTATTTACATCTGATTTCTCTTACTGAAGTATCAAGATTGTTTTGAATTTTGTCTTCCAGAATATTAATTATTCCATCCAATTTATCTAATCTGAAATTATATACTTATCATTTAAAAAGTATTCCTCCAGTTTTTCAGGTACTGTATTCAAAATTCAATTATTGTCATTCCACTAAATACTAAAGACAGTCCCTACTAATATCACCATTCTATTTGCAAAATATATATTCGCCCACTGAATTATTACCTTTCTCCCAGAGTGCCTCAGGTTTTGCAGTTCAGGCAAAGATGGAAGAATTGAAATAGCGGTTGAAAAAAATTGCATCTATTTTTCTTCAGTTCCACAAGTGCCATATGTCTTATATTGGTGTACATTCATCTCCATTTTGAATAAGTGATATGGAAATTGATAGACGAAAGCTGAGGAGTATAAACCTTTTAAAACATTTCATGTATTTCCAGTTTGCAGTCTAGTCCTTAACACTAAGGAAAACAGTTTTTTTTTTTTTAATTCTCCCTATGTTCAACTTTGATCTCAAATGTTTGTGCTACTATTGCTTCACATTTCTTCTGGGATATGCTGTGTGTGGATGTAGATGGACCTGGATTTGCTGAGGATTCAGAAGCTTTTAATCTGCTTTATGAAACCCACATTTTAGGCTAATGCGTCCCTAAAACAAAAGCAAAAGGAGCTACTAGAATCCCTCCACAGAGTTTGTCCGATCTAGATCTTTTCTGTGGTCTTATAGCAACAATTTGGCAAGAGCAAGCTGGCTTTCTGGGAGCTCTGATTTCCATAGAAACAGGAGGAGGAATTTGCCAAGGCAGATGGTTGCCGGCAACAGCAGCAGCAGGTAGCCCTTCCTCATTGCCTGAGAGCCATGGGGATTGGACTTCTAGGTGAGAGTAAGCTCATAGTACAGAATAGATGATTGCATATTATTATTTAAATTAGAGCAGTATTGGCCTGATCTGATGGCGAGGGATTTGAGAATATAGGGCAGGGACTTTTAGTGTCCCTGTAAATGAAAGGCACTTCCCTATATTGTGTTCTTTCCCTTTTGTCTATAATTGATTCGTGTGTGGATGCTGTACCAAATAGATGCTGGATCTGACCTCATAAGATGCTGTTAATGTTCTCTACTGCTTACTTACCTCAAGAGTTTATACAAACCATGTTCATTATGTAACAACTTTGTTATGTGAAATTGCCACTACGGACCAATTTTAATAAAAGCTATACTCAGCGGTGGAGTTAAGGTTTGTGGAGTAATTGCATTTATTGTTTGATTAATTATGATCTTGTGTCAATCATCCAACTCAGTCATCTAGCAAAGAAAGACTCCTGGCCATTTGTTTTCCCAAGAGTATACTTTAAGGTAAAGGTTTGCCTTGCACATATGTGCTAGTCATTCCTGACTCTAGGGGGCGGTACTCATGTCTGTTTCTAAGCCAAAGGGCTAGTGCTGTCTGAAGACATCTCTGTGGTCATGGGGCCGGCATGACTAAATGCCAAAGATGCACGGAACGCTGTTACCTTCCCACCAAAGATGGTCCCTATTTTTCTACTTGTATTTTTACATGCTTTTGAACGGCTAGGTTGGCAGAAGCTGGGACAAGTAATGGGAGCTTACTCTATTACACAGCACTAGGGATTCCAACTGCCAAACTGCCGACCTTTCTGATTGACAAACTCAGAGTCTTTGCTACTGAGCCACCACGTCCCAAGAGTATACTGAAGCTTAAATGGTTACAGAAGTAAGGAAAGCTGAATCTGAGGTTTTCTCCTGCAAGCAACACAAAGGAAAGTTCCCTCCCCCCTCATCCCTCGATTATCTGCAAATATCCAATCAGGTGCTTATATATTGTTCAGGAAACAGGTGCTTGGTTCCCAGCTCTGCATTTCGTTACTTGGCCTTGGCTAGCTGGAGCTTCGCACATGGCTCAACTGGGCTTCCATCCCCCCCCCCTTTCCTTACATTCTAATCTTTCCCTCTCTCCTCCCTCTCCATGCTAATGTCAGGCTGATATCCGCCAGGCTTTATCCAAGGCCTTTGTTGCAAAAGTAAGGATTTCTAAACTGGAATATACTTTTGCAGGCACATCTCNGACGTCAAAGGCGCACAGAACGCTGTTACCTTCCCACCAAAGTTGGTCCCCATTTTTCTACTTGCATTTTTACATGCTTTCAAACTGCTAGGTTGACAGAAGCTAGGACAAGTAACAGAAGCTCACTCTGTTACGTGGTGCTAGGGATTCAAACCGCCGAACTGCCGACCTTTCAGATCAACAAGCTCAGCGTCTTAGTCACTGAGCCACCGCGTCCCTATTAACAAGATTAGAGCAACCCACATGTTCAGGGGATGCTGTGCCACGAGGCAGGTCTGCCGGACAGAATACACAACTCCTGGGTTAAACAAGATGACATTGTTTTTGGAAGAGAGCCACAGGATGGCCACCCTGCTAGAACAATCAAGTGAGCAGAAACCATGGGAAAAAAGGCAAATAACCCTACTGGCCCTATGCCGTATGCATGGCTTTATAGATGAGTTGCATCTGAAAATCTGGTGGGAGTTAGGACAACTCACGGAGCAACTATGTAACATGGAGGCATTACTTGGTTGGCTTAGGGTGGAGATATGCAACTGGGTATCACCAGCATACTGATAATACCATACCTTGAGATGACAGATGACCTTGCCTAGTGGCTTCATATAGATATTAAAGAGGAATGGCACAAAGATGCAGTTTAGAGGCAACCCACAAACAGGAGCTTCAGGCTCAATTTTTCCTGCTCCAACACAATCTGGAATTGGCCTTGAAGAAAGGAGGAGAATTATTGTTACACAGTGCCTCCTAGTCCCATTTCCTTGAGCCAGAAGGATATCATGATGGAAGATTAGCTTCCATGCACTCTCCTCTTTCCCTCCCATTTCTCAGAGTGTTAGGCACTTGGAGCTTTTTCTCTGGGCCTGACTGCATAAGTGGGCAGATTCTACCTAGAGAAGATGGTCCTGAAGGGAACTGTTTTCATTGCAGCCATTTTCGCCTTTTCCTTTTGAAACTACCTACAAAGTGCTCCGAAAAAGGTTGTTTCCTCATGGATACATAGGGAAAAAAACCTTCTCTTTTTTGTTTAGTTTTTGTTTTGAGAAAGAAGAACCACTCAAGAAGAATGGCAAGAAGGTAAAATTATAGTAAATTAATTTGATAGCATCTCTATGAGATAACTTATGGCTATCCACGCCAAGTGAGTCAGAATTGCTTGTGTAATAACTGGAATATGCGTGGATAACATAAATATGAGCCAGCAGTGTGCTGCAACTGCCAAAAAAGCCAACGCAATCTTAGGTTGCATTAACAGAGGGATAGAATCAAGATTCTGTGAAGGGTTAATACCACTTTATAATGCCTTGGTCAGACCACACTTAGAATAATGCATCCAGTTTGGTCG